AGGGTTGCGATCCGTTGCCAGACACGGAAAAAGACAAAAGACAAAAAAAAAAAAAAAGAAGCTTATGTTCTAACTGTTTAAACCATGCATGAAAGCGTCTCTCCAAAAGAAAATAAGCCATATGAATTTACTGACCCTGAACATCTCGGGATTGCTATTTCTTCCTATTCAATCAGTTTTTCTACCGTCAGTCTTCCCTGTTGAGAGACCCTTATGTGCCTTCTGTGTGTGTACATGTACACTTACAATACACTCAGAGGTAGTTCACTGGAGAATACATGAGAGCAAAAAAATAACTGCTATCAGAATAGCACAAACAAATATAATTTGGGATACAAAGGGTCATATAGAAAAAGTGAGAGGAATTAACATTTATTGATACTTGATTTTTATCAATCCTATGAAGCAAATATTAACACATTTTGTACATGGAGAAACTGAGGTTCAGGATCCCAAAGGAATTGAGTAATTTGACCAGGGGCAAAAGCATATTGAACCCAGATCTGTGAGACTCCACCTCAATCCCAACCAAGTGTCTCAAAATCCACATTCCTATAAGTAGCATTCAGAATAAAAGGCTTGTTTCACCCCCAGTGCCTTTCTAGCCTGGTATACACAGAAAAGGGGGCAGTTTTCAGGTTGAGAATAAGTTGTTTAATTAAGTATGGAAAAGTAGAGATCGATAGTTAAAAATTGCCCTTCTGAAGGCTGCTGACAAGGCTTTTCTACATTTCCAGACACACTGGGGTTAAAGAGAATCATAAAGAGGGTGAGAAGTTGGACTGATAGGAGATCTTCAATTTAGAACAGCAATAAACTTTGGCAATCANCTGACAAGGCTTTTCTACATTTCCAGACACACTGGGGTTAAAGAGAATCATAAAGAGGGTGAGAAGTTGGACTGATAGGAGATCTTCAATTTAGAACAGCAATAAACTTTGGCAATCAGTTGACTTCTATTATGGGAAAGCAAAAGGTAAATTTGATCACTTCTATCATTTGGCTTCAAGTTCCTGTTCAGTGTGCTTTCATTTCACTCTACAGTGCTGCCTTGAGCATTTCTTGAAGGACAGGTCCTATGGTAACAAACTACCTCAGTTTTCATTTATTTGGGAATGTCTTAATTTTTCCCTCCCTTTTGAAGGGCAGTTTTGTCAGACAGAAAATTCTTTGTTGGCAGGTTTTTTTCTTTTAGCACTTTGAATATATTGGCCCACTGTTTTCTGGCCTCCAAAGTGTCTGATGAGAAATCAGACAGATTCCTGATGCTTCCTACTCTGCTATCTTCCCAGAATCCCACTGGTCTCCTTTTGAAGATATTTTTTAAAAAGAGAGAGATAGGGGAGGGTGGGTATCTTGCTTACAATCTTACAACCAATTAGAGATGACATTAGGAGTTGAACCAGGCCTCTTGATTTTGAATTTAGAAATTTCTCATCTACATGACACTACCTATTACCCTAAAGGTCATGAAAGCAAATGTTAAATCAAAACCATGTCCTTTCTAACCCAGACCAACCCCAGCATGTCTAACATTTTCCTCATGTAAACTTGACCTTCTTCCAGGTCACAACGAACCAAACACATGGACCACCCCCCTCCACCCCCACCCCCAGCCTAGGCTCAAGCTTTGCACTGTCTCCACCGACTCCCATCAGAATGTATGAAGTACCACATGCAGGGTGGTATTTTTCTTCAAAAGAGAANCTTCTCGTGACCCCATTGCACCTTGCACCCTCTGATACTATGTAAGTTCTAAGCAAACAGCAAGATTTCTCTTTCCAAAAGGAAAATTAAATTAAAGGGAGTTTTGTTGGTATGACTTCAAGGTACAGTATCTGGTCAGAAACTGGCTTAGACTGAGCATTGGACTTTCCCTGGCCTATTTCAGATCACTTTTAATATCAGAGAATTTGAATTACACATATTTCATAAATTGCAAGGAAAATATTTGAAGGTAAATAGCATGTAAATGGTGCCATCCTTGTCCAACGTAGAAACTCCTCTCCTTAGAATTCCTGATTCTTCCCAATGCAAAGCTCCGGAAACTTCTCGTGGTTAGTACAAAAGCAAATGGGATCTAAGTATGCTCAGTTATTAGTTGACAAAACAAATACTGTATTAATTGAGCACTCACCAAGTGCCCAAGAGCAGTTCTAGGTGCTGGTTGATGAAACCAACAAGACCTCTGCTGTCAAGAAGCTTATGTTCTGGGCCGGCCCGGTGGCGCACTGGATAGTGCGCCGCTTGGGAAGCGCGGCGGCGCTCCCGTCCGAGGGTTCGGATCCC